GAAGACTTGGTCAGACAGCAACAGGCAGAAGACTTGGTCAGACAGCAACAGGCAGAAGACTTGGTCAGACAGCAACAGGCAGAAGACTTGGTCAGGGACAGAAGGCAGAGGTGATTACCAGGTTTCGGACGAGGCAGGTTAGTCAAGAACAGGCAGGGTCGGCAACGAAGAATCAGTCCGGGGATAACTGCTGGAAAGACTTGCATGAAGGAGTAGAACAATCTGGCACTGACTGAGAGTGGAGCTGGTGAATATATWCTGGGCTTGATTGCAGGTGATGAGGAGCAGCTKTGTTGGATTGTGAGAGGGTGTGGCTTGGCTGGCAGATGAAGCAGAGGCGGAGTCCATGGAAAAGTACTGAGAGGTGGAAGGATGGGAGACTGACTGAGAAGTGGGAGGATGGGTGACTGACTGTGACACTCTGGACTTATTGATGCATAGATTTTGGACTCATTGATACTTCCAGCACAATGAGTTCTTGCTTACAAATAAACAAACATACAAACCAACCAACCAACCAACAAACAAACAGGAGTAAAACATAACTTCACTCAGGTGATAAAGCTAGGGTTGGTAAACCTGAAAAAGTCTAGTAAGAGCAGGCTACACAACAACCCCTTCCTTAGCCCTTTTGTCAAAGCCCCAAAACACATGAAGGCTGCCTGAGAACCGCGAGAAGCCGACTTTTCCTTTTCATTCTGTGCAACTGAAATGATTGGTCATTTTTCTTACAGTCCTGTGAGGGCCACAGACACCAAATTTATTTCCTTTTTTCAGATGGGACATGGGAAATCAACAAATATTATAAAAAGTGTTTCAGAAACAAATTCCCAACCAAACTTTAAGGTTCAATTGTAGCTCTGTATATATCGAGCTAATACACAAGATAATTTTCTTGTGTGCACCCTATCAGAGGTGTTCAGAGCCAATCTGATTCGTTATTCAGGAACAAAGTTAATATGTCTTTCTGACAAACGAGCAAAAAAGGCACCAAACGCTGAAGCCTTATTCATAAGAAGAAATATAAATCTGTGAAATCCAGAGGATGTTTTTTCAAAGAAATTAGGACAAAGAATTTATCTTCGTCCTAATGTGAGACATGAGAAAGCATTTTTCCAAAAGGGTTCAGGATCCAATCCCCTCCCACCAGCCCCCCCAGCCACCAATCTCAAATCCACTCTGTAATTATGTGCATAAATAAAATAAAATAGCAAAGATGAGACAAATATTTCTTCCACACTCATCGTCTCTATTCCTCCACTGTCGGATATGAAGCAGTGGTGTAGAGAAAACAGCAGAGAGCTTTTTGTTTTCTGTCGACTGCTTCCGTCGCTGCCTTTCACCCAGCTCCTTTATAAAGTGTGTGTGTGATGTCTTGCAGGCCAAGCAGGTGCACATTACACAGCAGGATAGGGCCGACTGAGCAGAGAGAGAGAGAGGGAGGGAGGGGTGGTCTGTCTCTGTCTTATAGGTCACACAAAAGCGCCAGTGTTCTCTCACTCTCTCTCTCTCTCAGAGTTGAAGACAGTAGAGAGAGAGAGAGAGAGGCCCTTGGGTCACATTGTCCTCACATCGCCCTTAAGCCTCACAGTGGCCCCCCAGTATGCACCCCCTGTCACCCCTCACTCCGTGGCCTATACTCAGCTCTCCTGCAACATGTGGGTGCCGACTACAGGCAAGTGAATTTCACTGAGAGTTTATGTTACTGCAGACGACACAGAAACAACAATAGACCAGGGGAAACAAATGTAAAAAACACACTTCAGATATGCTGCTCAGTTGATTGTGAGGTATTTGCATTTATGTGTGAATCAGAACATACAGGTAAAACAAGCTGGAAGTTATTCACTGTGTGTGTGCGCCTGTATGAGTATGTGTGTTTAAAGGCCACATTCCGGAGCTTGCTGAGCCGTAGCTGGGTGATTAATAGTAACTAGCTGATTGTTTAAGAACTGAAATTCCTCAGGCCCATTTTTTTTCTCTGCTGCTACACTCACACACACACTGTCCTGCACACAGATACAGTTTAATATATTTACACATTTACTCATTCTCCATAAGTGAACTGTTGTATTTATTTACTGTTTCCTTTCCAGCTCTCACTACGACACAGCCTGTCTGAGTGACTGAGCGCCAGTGTGTGTGTGTGTGTGTGTGTGTGTTTCTGAGGCTTTCAGGTGGGATAATGGAAACTCAGTATTTTACTTGACTGCAGGTTACTGAGGAAATTCAGGACACTGAAACATTATCCACTTCTGTCTTTCTCTCTCTCTGCTTCTCTGTCTCTATCCGCTTGTGTCCAACTCTCATTTCTCCTCTTTGTCTGCATGCATATAGTTTTTAATGCCTCTGCAGCGGTGATAACCATGACTGCAGGCATTATGTCTTCAACCCAGGTTTTAGTGATTAAAGGTCAAAGTCACTGTGACCTTACAAAACACAGTATTGACCATAATAG